TCCTCCTCCTCCTCCTCCTCTCCTCCTCCTCCTCCTTTCCTTCGTCGTCCTCCTCCTCCTCCTCCTCCCTCCTCCTCCTCCTCTTCCTCCACATTCCTCCTCATCCTCTTCGAACTCGAAGCTGGCGGCCTCGTCCTCAGAGAGGTGCAGCCGTCCCCCCCGCCCCCCCCCCCCCCCCCCCCTCTTTCATGATGACAGGGGGGGGGGGAGGGGTTCGAACCGGTAGTGACCCCCCCCGGTTTTCCGGAGGGGGGGGGGGCGGAGGGGTTCGAACCGGTAGTGAACCCCCCCCGGTTTTCCGCCAGCAGCGGTAGAACACGCTCTTTCATGTTTTGGAATGCTTCAGGATCTTCAAACGGTTGTCTTCCAACGAGGAGTTCCCTCAATGGACATGAACCGTTGTAGCGGCCTATGAGGAAGGAGCTTGGATGGAGGGTTAATTCCAACATCGTTGATGACTCTTGGGTTTACACTGGTCCTCCTCCTCCTCCTTCTTCTCCTCCTCGTCCTCATCCTCCTCATTGGGCCCGCATGGAAAGGGCGCCGGAAGGTGGGCGCACTCCTCAACAATCGCTCGCGGCGAGCAGCTCAGACGGGCCAAACGCGTGCCGCGCCCGTCACTCAGTTGACCCCTTCCGAAGACTCCACGAGTTACACGGGAATGCGGATGTGCAACGTTGGCCGCCGTCCACCTACCCTCGGACTCTGGCGGGACAAGAGGGCGGCCAACCGATTAAACAACAGAGCGTCTGCCAAGGCATGGCACAGCAATGAATGAGACAATCCCGCCTCTAGTTGGGGTGGGCAGCTGAAATGAGGCTTGCCCACAACCTCGAAGACACGTGTGAGATAACCCCGCTTCTGATTGGGGTGTGAAATTCACACAGAGGGGGCCCTCAGCTTCAGGCGCGCACGCGAAAGGAACGCACATGTATGGTGATATTGACCCCGTTGCTGGTCGGGTTGGGCAGTTGAAGTGACAGCCTGCCCACATCTGGTCCCCCCTCCTCCTCCTCCTCCTCCTCCTCCTCCTCCTCCTCCTCCTCCTCCTCCTCCTCCCCCTCCTCCTCCTCCTCCTCCTCCTCCTCCTCCTCCTCCTCCTCCTCCTCCTCCTCCTCCCGCTGCCGGCTGCTCCTCTCTGTTTGTGGGTTTCGGCGGAAGGCCGTGACAATGAGCTCGACTCCGCGCTCGCGCCTGCAGCGCTTCGGCCTGCAGCCTGGTCGGGAAAATGAGAGCGCTGCCGGTGGCATCGCACCAGCCGCCGGCCCGGAGGGCCAGGGGCGCGGTCGATCATGTGGTCAGGCAAGTCGGACCCAGACATCCACGAGCGAAACGAGCCGCGTGGCGGACACCGCGTCCGTGACACTCTGAGCAGGACCCCAGGGACCAACACCACGCCAGTGTAGCAGCCTGGCCAGGGCATCCTCGAGAGCAGCCAGCAGTGCGCCGAGCACCCTGTCTCTGAGCAGCACCGCAGGGGCAAGCGCCACGACAGAGT